CTTCCAAAATATTCTTGGTTGTTGTATGATCCATTAAAATTTCATATTGCTTATACACTTCTTCTTTAATTATTAGGGCGTTTGTTTTACAAAAGAATCAAAGAGAATTGTTGGACTCATCCCCCAATCATCATCACTGGGATGATCAAATCATAAAAGTCTAATAAAAACTTCGCTCTTGCAAAGTTACAAAATCGAAGCATGTTATCTACATATTTAGGCAGATTGATTTTGATTTGGTTTTTGATTTTTCTTGTAGTCCACTCAATTACTCATAATCTTCAATTCTCCTCCAGCACCAACACGAAAACCAGCAACCCCATTAAATTCCAAAGCAAAACACTTTGATTCAGAGTAAATAGTTTTGATAATTTCCTCCATGCTCAAAGTCTCGAAGTCCGTCTGTGATAGTAGAGATCGGTAAAAGAATGCAATAGGGTACTAGGCAGATTTTGATTGGGCAGTGATGTAGACACCATCATAACGTTTAATGATGACAATGTATATACAACTGCCCACCGATTTTCTAGGACTTTAACCGAATTTCCTCCTTTTTTTCAAATTAAAATATTTGAGTTCAAACATTAAAATTGAGATTGTGTGAGCACTGTAAAAACAATTTGAATTTATGTTAGAATTCTGTAGTTATGATATCAATTAGCAAAGCTCGCAAAAGTTCGATATCAATTTCAGATTAAGTGCAAATAGAAATTTAAAACATATTCTGCTATGACTATTGAAGAAATTTGCACTGAAAAAATTATATCTCATGTCGAAGTTCTAACTATCAGTCTCAGACTCTCCTTAATTGATGCAGGGGAGAAACGCTCACCGAGAAGAATCACACCAGTTGTCAGGAAGAATCACCCAGTCACTAGTCACTCGTCGGGAAGAATCACGACAGTCGCCAGTTGTTGTCTTCAGTCGGGATTCTTTGGGGAATTGGAAATTGGGGGAAAATGGAGGAATTAGGGGAAAAGGGAAAGGAAATTGGGTTTTGATCAATAGACGGGCTTGGGTTGGGTGGGCATCTTCTTTTTTATTTTTTTTTTAAAGAAATTTCTTTTTTTTTTTTGGCCCAATGGGGGCGGTTGCCCCCACTAGGCCCTTAATAGGTCTGCCCCTGATCACTGGAATGATCGAGTCTAGAAAGTTTCTAATAAAAACTTCTTTCTAAACTAGTCCATTCCATTACTCCTCATCTTCAATTCTCCTCCTACACCAACACGAAAACCAGCAGCCCAATTAGTATCCACTCTAAATTGGAGTAAATATTCTATAGAATTTCCTCCATGCTCATAGACTCGAAAGCCCCACTGTAATCACAGTGGAGATTGGTAAAAGAACGTAATAGGGAACTCGGCAGATTGAAATTGGGCCGTGATGTACATGCCATCATCACCCTTGATGACGAAAACTATGTATATACTACTGTCCAATATCTAAGACTTTAACCTTATTTTCTTCATTTTGAAAATAGAAATATTTTATGTTCAGACTGTAAGATTGAGAGTGCATCATCATTGTAAAAACAATTTGAATTTGTGATAGAAATATGTAGTTAAAAAAAGATAGATATAGAGAGAGTAAAAAATGGGATAGGGAGGGCACTAAAGGCTGTTTGCTTGAGAGATAAAAGAAGCTTGGTTGGATAGAAAGAGTACTAATATCAAAGGCATACTTGTCAATTTAATCAAATGGTGCTGGAGGTGTGGTGGGTATAGTGTCATGCAAGTTGGTCGTTATAGTTGACTCTCACGATCTCTTTTCTCTGGTTTTCTTCGAAGAAGCTGTGTTCTTCTTCTTCCTTTGGTGTTCCAAGGTGTCGATCCTAAAACCTATTGTTGTGAGTTTCCTATGTATTACTCAGACTTGAAATAGGAGCTAGGTTAGGTTGGTTTCTCGTTGGGTTCAGGTTCGAAAAAGGGGAAGTATTGGCTGTATAAGGTAGACCATTTGGTCGATGANAGCCAAGGAAGAAGGGTTCTGAACCTGTTCTCTAGCTCTCTTTGGAAGGTGATTTGCGTGGTGTGGAAGGGTATTCCTGAGCAACATTTCAGCCATGAATGGAGGAGGAAGAACCAACAAAGGAAGTCAAGTTCTGCCCTTTTATTGTCCCCTTTTTAGCTTTGTTTTCTGTCGATTAGTTTATGCTATGCTTTATATGTACATGCAAATGTTGGATTACAATGTTGTACATTCTGTAAATGCTAAGAAATTGATTTGGAGCCTGTTTTAATTCTATTAGCATTGCATTTGTGATTACATTATGCTCTGTTTTTCCTTAACATATGGTATTAGAGCCTAGCTTCGGTCTAAGGTTTTTTATCGTTCATTGATTTAGGCATTTTTTGAATGTTCTATTTTGGTTAGTTCGTTGTTTTTTGGCATTCTAGGGTTTCATAATTCTATACTGATTATTGTGACCATGTGTTGTGCATGTTGTTGACTGATTGGGTAACTCTGGTGATTCTGGTGAACTTTGGTTGGCTTGCTCGACTGAGGGTATTGT